GTGTAGCCTATCAGCGCAACAGAGGACTAGCAGAGAGCTTAAATATTTGGATAGAGGCATCTTCTTACTTGGATATGTCAGTCTGGTGATCATATATATATATAGATATATATATATGCAATGTATATTTAACAGACCACCTTAACATTTGTATTTCGCTACAGAGTTTATGAGGACACAATGCAGATGTACATTAATTTGTTCAGTAATTATGTCCTAAATTATCTTAATATTTCATCAGACTGTAAAACTACATTTGGAAGAAGTATTTTCCAAGGACAAGCCTAGAATGTTTGGCTCTTGTTTCATATTATCTTTAAAATTCACACATTTTCTTAACATTAAATAGAAAATAAGACCTAATAAATATAAAATTAATGTAAATATGCAGATCCTTTGGTTTTCTGTTATTCCACTGTGATATTGTAGGATTGTTACCTCCAGGAATTATTTCATCTTTGAATAAATATATTATGGTGCTATTAAAATGTATGTATGTATCTATTTAAAATGTTCAGTGATGAAGGTTACTTCTAAAGAGAGTAAGTGTCCCCTGCCTGCACTATCCATTGTCCTTACTTTTGTCCAGGCAATTCCTTGGGACTGTTTCTCTATTTATTATTAAAGAAATAAGGTCCTCCAGGTCAAAAAGGAGGTTACAAAGATTTCCTAAAGATAAAACAGTTAAATTGCCATCAGTCTGTAAGGTAGCTAGCTCTGCAGTCTGGAGTTTCTGTCTTTGAATTGCTTTTCCTCTAAGAGTGCCTCTTAAGACCTGGTAGTTAAAAGTATAAAAACCAATTTAACAAGAATATCCATAATGATAAGTTTTATTGTGTTCTATTTCCATGGTTTAACTGTTCTCCAAGTGGTCCAAGGATTTGGAAGGTCTGAGTAAATTCCCATGAAGGGAAAAGAGGGCAATAAAATTTTTAATAATGCTGGTGTTACCTTACTATGAGAGGCATGGGCAGTTAGTGAATATGAATTAAATTCAATTTAAAAGATTTGGGATCCTTTAATGTCATTGACAGTTATGAACTAAAGCTGTAAATCTCACCTCTTTAATTATTATTATTAATAATTCTTATTATCTGAAAACTGATGGTGCCTGGAAGATGTGGCATTACAATTGGCACACTTTATTCTAAGGGCTTAATTCTGTCTCCTCAGCCCCAAGTCTCAGAGGGAGTATAGCTGTCAAGCATTACAAAGCCTCAGGCTGTCCCCCTTTGGCTGGAAGGTAGAGCATGCTGATCCCGTCAGTCTCTTCTCTGGATCCCTAGTGCTGCGAAACTATAGGACCTCCAGGAGTGCAGTTGGGTCATCTCCTAAATTTGCTGCTTTGGATACCCTCAGAGGAGTCAGCTAGACTTTAATTTTAGTCAATAAATAAATAAAAGCTTCAAACTAGTGCAAGACAAGACACAAAGAACTCGGTAGTGTTACAATCTGTGTAGCACAAACCAGGACAGATGTTTATATTCTCTAAAATATGGCCTTTCTGTTTATGCAGTTCTGTGCAGTGGTAAAATACAGTTACCTGCTTAAGCTGTGTCTTTTCAGTAACGTGTGCTTGTGTAGGCATAAACACACACACAGAGCAGCAGGTTTCTAATTCACTCTGAAGGCAGCAAGGTCCATAAAAGGTCTGTAACCTTTGTAGAGTACTCTGGTATGGTGAATATGCACTTTACAGGTCTCTGAGGACATAAGGAGCAAAAGTAGCATCACTTGCCTGTAGTTAGCATTTCAGCCCTGTTTGAGGCTACTCATGAGTCCAGGAAATGTCCAGGAAGTGACTGATTACGTTGATTTGTCTCAGGGAAGCATGCCATCACCTGCACTGGTGCTAACCCTGGCACCAAATTTCAGTGGTTGATAATAATTCAAAAACATCACAACAATAGCCTGATGCTGAGGGACATTCAGTGTGCTACAGGCTGTTAAACTCAGAATGAACTCTAGTTAATGCAGTTAAAAGTGATGCAATAGAATAGAATAGATATTTCAGTTGGAAGAGACTTACAATGATCAGCTAGTCCAACTGTCTGACTTCAGGGCTGACCAAAAGTTAAAGCCTATTATTAGCCTACACTAACAGGCATGGGACATGGACCATCTCTTTAGGGAAGCCTGTTACAGTGTTTGAACACCCTCACAGCAAAGAAATGCTTCCTAATGTCCAGTCTGAACCTCCTCTGGCACAGCTTTGAACCACTCTCATGCACCCTGTTGCTGGATCTGAGGGAGAAGAGTTCAGCATCTCCCTCTCCACTTGCCCTCCTCGGGAAGCTGTAGAGGGCAATGAGGTCACCCCTCAGCCTCCTTTTCTCTAAACTAGACAAACCAGAGTCCTGAGCTGCTCCTCACAGGACATGCCTTCCAGTCCTTCCACCAGCTTTGTTGCCCTCCTCTGGAGGACCTTCAGATCCTTCTTAAATTGTAGGGCCCACTGCACACAGTATGCACAGCGAAGCTACAGCAGTGCTGAATAACAGTGGGATAATTGGCTCTTTTGACTAGCTGCTTATATTCTGTTTGGTGCACCCCCAGATCTCTTTCTGTGGGGCTGCTCTCCAGCCATTCCTCTCAGTTGTGGCTGACATAATTGCAGAATACAGCATTTCAACTTGTTAAATTTTATGCCATTAATCATAGCCCAATGCTCCAGTCTATCTAGATCGCTCTGCATGGCCTCTTGTTCCTCATGAGACAGCACCTCCCAACTCAGTATTGTCAGCAGATTTGTTAATGGTGCATTCAGCTCCTTCATCCAGATCATTGATATATATATATATATATATATATTGAACAGAACTGGCCCTAGAATTGAGCCCTGAGGAACACCGCTGGTGACTAGTCGTCAGCTAGATGTATGCCCATTCATTACAACCCTTTGATCTCTGCCCTTCAGCCAGTTCTTCACCGGGTGCACTGTGAACCCACTAATCCGCAGTTGGGACTACTTGTCCAGACTAGTGCTGTGAGGTATCAAAAGCCTTACTAAAATCTAGAAAAACTACATTCACATCCTAACCTTCATCCACTAGTCAGATGACCTTATCGTAGAAGGATATCAGATTAGTTAACCAGGACTGTTCCTTTGTGAACCCATGTTGACTGTGTCTGATGATTGTATTTTCCTTTAAATGCTTTTCAGTAGCACCAAGTGTAATCTTCTCCATATTTTTTTCAGGAACCGAGGTTAGACTAACAGGTCTGCATCTTCCTTGGTCTTCCCTCTTGCCCCTTTTGTACATTAGAATAACACTGGCTAGCTTCCAGTCACCAGGCATCTCCCCAGAAGGCCCAGGCTCCTGCTGCTCTTTGAGGTGTCTGCAAGAAGGCTTCCCCATATATGTTTAAGGAGGATTTGTTTATGGGCATGCGTATGGAAATGTGAGACTGGGCTCATTCATGATACAGTGTTGCACCGTTTCAGCTGGAGTTGTATTTCAAACAGTTTCAAACATGAAAATTATTATCACAGTGCTAGCATACTTTAATTAGGCTTAGCCGAACCAATTCCTATTTAATTTATGACAAACTAACTAGGTTTAACTGAATATTTCAGAATTTGATTCAAAGTAAAAAGTCATTCTTCCTGAAAGGAAGATATTGATGGACCAACTGCACAGTCTGGGATTAACATCTTAGACCCTGTTGCAGTTTTCTTCATTAGGTAAATTCATTTAATTTGTTGATTGTATTTTCTTTCTCCATAAAGATTCTCCATCATTTCCCTGTGCTGTTTGCATTTTTAAATTTTAAGATAAAATATTGCAAGTACTCCTTGGAAATAATAATTTTCTATCAATATTTCTTCTTAGTCTACTTCGACATTTTCTTGAGATTTTTGTTTTCTAACATTCTAAAAGCATATTCTTGGAGTTCTTCAGTGACTTATTTCCAGTTTTCCTTGAACCTTTACTGTTAAACTCAAGTTTCCTGCACATGTATTCTTATAGATGAAAATTCAGAATACTAGGGGTTTTTTAGATTACTGGTTTTGAGTGTTGCTCCATCCTCTCTGGTGATTTCACTCAGATTTGTTTGCAAAACCGCGCGTGTTTTCTGAGGTCACTTTGAAATGACAGTAAGCCCAATTGTCCCTTTTTTGCTCATCATTAAGGAACTTGTAACTAAATTATTAAGTGTTTTACAGGATTTGTAGTGCAATAGAAGGTAGATTCCAAGTGAGTTGGAGAGACATTCTCCCTAAAGACAAGGAAGTTGAGTGTTTTTTTTATAAGTGCATAAAACTAAAGTTTCAAGTTTTGAATGTTTTAGATATTAATTACTCTGGAAGGGAAAATTTCATTGTCAAATTGTGAACGCTGTCTTAGTTTAATATTTACATTGCTACTGTGTACTGATGGGGTGGATAAGAAGTACTTTTATTGTACCATTGTGAAATTTGCAGGTTTGCATTAATTGATTTTGTACTTCAAGCTACTCATTATCCTGTGAGATTACCATTTGCAACTTTGTTCTACTTAGTTCTTGACCACATCTGGCAGAAAGAAAAGCCTCTTCCTGTTGTATAGGCTGATGCTGTGAACATCCTTTTTATCAATTTAATTATATAAATAACCAAATCTAGTGCATTTTACAGTACATTTCCTTAAGCAAACTACATGGAATACTTTTTAATAACCATATAGCCATTTGATTATTTTTACACTTGCCATTTGAAGACAGTTTGAATATAGATTGATATAGAATTACTTAAAGTACTGCATATAAATTAAACATTAAAAAGGTAGATACAGCCAGACTAAGCAGCTTCAATTATAATCTTTGGTTATGGAGTTACTGCCTCAAGGACACTCCATCCATTTCATATCATATGTCCTTTTGAAAGATGATCAGTGGGTTCAAGTAACATTTCAGCACAGAGGAAATTGCATAATTTATAGGCTTTTAGAAATGAAAAACAGACAACTGGTTTTCATAAATTAAATCTCCCTCTCTTTTTTTCTTCTTTCCCCTTACAGATTGGTACACTGAAGGATTACTACCACTTCTACCATAGCAAAACAATTAAAAGGTCAGTTCTCTCAAGTAGAGGTACCCACAGCTTCATTTCAATGGAACCAAAGGTAAGAAAATCCATGTATATGTCTGAAGCAAAAGCCTTTGCATTTTTTATATGAAATATCATACCAGAGGACATTCACCTGAATGGCATATAGTATTACAAGAACTGACACACTATCTGTTCACTAAGGTTCTGCTTCTCATTAAAACACGGAGAAGACAATAGTATGCTATTAAGTCTGTGCTATTCTTGGAAGATAAGGTCCAACATTATTCATGGAGGAGTACAGGAATTTTGTTAATGCGGTAATCACTGTACTGTGCTTCCCTGCAAAACCACATGTGTAACATTTAGGTCTGCAGATCTTCTGTAAATCAAACAGCTTTTGGAATGAAGATGACCAATGTGGGATGGTACAACATTCAGAGGAAAGTTTCTCTTTCTTTTGTCTGAGCTTTTTCTGGACTTGGTATATGTGGGATTAAAATAAGAATGCTCTTTTCTGTGGTACTTCTGGTAATTGTTGCTGATCTTAATTTTAAATCTGTTTGAAAAATGGTTTCATACCTTTGGAGTATATAATATTACAGGTAACTGTCAATATAATTTAATTACTGATTTATAGTTAAGTATAATTTTGTCTTACATATGTATCCAAGACACACTTGTGTTTTAATCCTTCCATTTCAGTGCTTAGTGTCTTCATCACTGACTGTAGAATTTGAACTCCTCTGGTTTTCTTTTGGAAAAGAAATTTGGAGAAGATTCTATTGTCTTTTTTATGCTGTTCATGAAACCCATTCTTGGCAACAAACCTCCAAGTCCCTGGTGTTTTTCAGTGGTTACAGTCAAGCTTTTTTTAAGTCTGTGGATGATGACTGTTGTCTGGGAAGGATTTGTCAGGTTCTAACTGACAATTTATGAAAAGTAAGTTATCTGTAAAAGACAGTTTGAATACTGTAGTTTTACAGTGTAGAAGTTGAGCATCGTACAGGGGTACTTCTGCAGTCTGGAAAGCTGTATTTAGGGCTGAAGTTTCTCTTCAGGATAGGACAAGGATAGGGAGGTGAACACAAAGCGTGTTCACCCCTGTGTTGATAGGGCTGTACTGGTTAACCCTTTAAGAGCACCAGCAGCTCTGCTGAGCAGTGTATTTTGGGGATTAGTATGAAAATGTTCAGGGCCCAAATTTCTGTTCCTGTGAGTGCTGAGACCCACGGTTCAAACAACAAGCACTGCACTTAGAATAGGTGATACTGTAAAAGGAAAGGAAAGTGCTCACATCTTCATCAGTCTACGCTCTTTCCTGTGTGCACAGAGGTGGAGCAATTTACGCACAAATGCACAAGTTCACATGCACGTACCACCATAAACTGATGTTACAGTCAGCTTCCAGATACCCCTTCTGCACCTCTGGCAGCCAGCCCAGACTACTGTGGCCAGAATCATGAGATACTCTAAGGCAGAGCACAGCAGAAAATCAGAGCCATCATTTATTTTCCAGCACTTCCCATGTTAGATCATCTAGGTCTTGTCCCTTATCTGTGCTGCTGCTGGTACACAATTTCTGAATTTGTAAATCATTGTTAAATATCACTTTATTTGAGTTCTAGTAAGGATTGTGCAGGGTACTTAACCCTGTTAATGATTCTGTACCCAAAGGGAAGCTGTCTGTCTAATACCTAGATATGGCCCAAGTGTTTGTAATTGACTTTGTGCCTACTGTACCTGGGCTTGGGAGCTCTTGTGTGGCTGCAGACGTGTCAACATACTGACATGTATTCGTAGAATAAAGGCCAGTTTGTCCTCAGTGTGTATAACATTTAATGATTATTAAGCAGACTGGAAATGTAATTGTATTATAACAAAAAATGGGACCTTTTAAAAACAAGAGATTTAATATTAAATAAATCACATTGCATGGTTGTGTGGTTTTTAAAGGACCAGTAATATATGCTATTATATTTATGAGTGTGACTCTATCTTATGCCAATATTTGCAGCAGATTAGATGGCATGTGTATTTGTGAACAAAGGAAGACTGAGATTTGTTTACTTTCCAGATCATTTAATGGTAGTTTACTTAATGGTTAAGATCCTCTCTGTGTAACATGCACACAAAATTAACTTGATCTGTGCTTGCTTCAGATGTGGATCACTAATTTGCTTCATTTATGAAATTTTAAATGATGTCATTTTTATTGAGTGGCAATTCATTATGTAAATAACCTTCATATAATGGAAGAACCATTATGAGATCTGATATTTCTAAACCACTTGTGTGGATAGCATTTGATTTCTCTGTGTGAATGCACAGGGAAGGATAAATAGGTAATATAAAATCTTGCTATTCAGTTAATGAATTGCTTTGAAGATCTTTAGCTTGTTTTCTTTTTCTTCTGAAAAAGCCTCTTGACACTTATAAACAATATGAATAGATCCAACAGGGAACATAAGCTGAAGACATGTGGATTAGACATTTTGATCATTTTTTTCAGCATTAACCAAATGTTACTCTATACTTAGATGAAAAGATAAAGGATATGTAGTGCAACACAGTTTTGTCCATTATCATCCACATCTTTGCCTAGCAGTGCTACATGTTGTCATTTAGAGATGAAACAGATTAAGTAGTTTTAGGAAGAGATGCCAAAATGAGGCTTTAATGTCCCCAACATAGATTAGCATATAGAAAATTTGAAACATAGCTTTATCCACAGCAACTTTTCTATGCCTGTATATAGTTACATGGTGTTTCCTACGTGTTGATAGAAAACCAAAGAAGTGAGAGAAATTTGTGGATTCTAAGCAGAGATTAGTACTATGCATCAAAGCTAATTGTTGAATGAAATCTATTACAGAAGTTTCCACTCTCTTCAGCTAATTTGCTACTTGTGGTTGGCCTTTGGCAGGGGTCAATGAAAGCACCATACCATGAATTGAGAGCCTTTTTTTAGCTTCATAGAGTTTGCTCAGCAAAATTATTTTGGTGACACTACAGCGTATGAAACAATGGGAGCAGGAGCAAAAAGGAAGTAGGAAGATGGACAGAATCAGTCCACAGCAGAAATGAGCCATGAAGCTCTCAATTCAGCTATTAAATAGAGGGCTGGTAGGCCCTCTATTGAAATCAAACTATAACAGCACTTCCAGGGGTGGGAATACAGAGGTATGGTGCACCTCTGGGGGTCTGCTGCAGCGGTGAAATGAAGAGTCACAGAGTGAAAAAAATTGCAAAGAATGATTGCAACCTCAGTCTCTTAAGTCAGATGTTACATCAGTATAATGCATAAGGAAAATCAGGTGGAGCTTTTCTGTCACTGATGAAATTGCAGTTCCAATAAAATGTCAGAGTTAAAGTGCTTATGGATAACAATAATACATAGAAGTTAAATGGACAATATAGGTGAGAAAGCTGTCTTTTTATACTAAACTGTTACGTGAGATGAAGTATTTGTAGTGAAGGGCTGTGATAATGAAATTTGTGAGTCATATGGTGAAAAATATCCCACAGAATGAAGTAGCATAAATGATAAAGCAATAATCCTAGAACACCATTCTTAAGGTAATAGAAGGCAGATTTAAGACTGATAATATGTTCAAATACATATCAACTGAAGTTTGTTCCATTTTGCTTATGAGGTCCCCAGTGCTTTGTATCACAACAGAGAAAAAGACATGTGGCCCACAGCAGTGCTCAAAAATATAAAATTAATAATTCATGTTCCTGGAAAGCATCACATTTACTAATGAGGAAAACATTTTACAGCATTAGTGTTTGTTTATCAATCTCAACTAAAATGACATCTCCTTTTTTTTTTTACTTTTAATTGATTTCAAGTAGGTTTATTTGAGGATTGAACTCCTAGTTGATGGGTTAGGTTTACTCATCTTTTAGAAATGGAAATATTTCCAGTCTCTCTTCCACTGATATAAGAAGTAAAGCTACCTAATTTCAATGAGATACCCTTTTTGAACAGGATTTTGCAGAAGTGTCATGCATTTTTCACTTCTGCTCCATGATCAGAATACCTGGGGAAACATTTCTCCAGACATTTACATTTTACCCAGCCTGACCTAACCAGACACAGAGCAGATCTGTATGACTTGGCGATAAAAAAATGTTAGTCCCAGGGTGGGGGAAGGGATTCTTACCTTTGCCATAACCAACTGAATGGAACTGCTGGTAGCATCGTGTAAAATGCTGGGCAATGTGTCTTTGATGAGACAGCACCAAATGATCTGGTCTGTCTTCAGGGCATAGGAAAGTAATGCCAGAATCCTGTCCTTATTACTGGTAGGACATTTTGGATGTTCATGAGAGGACAGAGGAGAACAGAATTGTAGCGGGGACAAGTAAATGTTTCATCATGTTGCTGTGTAGTTATACCTGTTGATATGGAGATAGCTGTCTAAGGAGTAGGGAAAAAGATGGATTTCACCACAAGCTTATAGTGTTGCTTCATCAAGGAATATGCCACTGCATGTGGAACATGCTTTCAATCACTCTGGATCAGACTATTCATCACAAATAGAGAGGAGGATTAAGTTTTCAGTGCTAAGATCATTTTCAAGATGTGTTTTCCAATTATTTATTAATGTAAATGTTCCAAGATTGCAGTATGATGTTGAGTAAGGAGAAAATAAAGCTTTGAACAATTTGGATTTAATGTAGGGAGCACAAAATTCAGAAGTAATGAAGAACGTTATTACAGTGCTAAAAGCATGGACTTTTAAAACCAGTATTGTGGAATTAGAGTTTAGAATAATTCAGATGAAAATGTGGTTATGGGTAAGGCTTTTCTTCATATTGGCATTGCTAAGTGTTAAGTTGTTAAACCTCTTTAGTGAACAAAAAGATTTTGTTAGCCAAATAGAATAACACAACAGTTAAACACTGGGACCAGGTGAGTTATTCATGTCTGCCTGGGTAGCCATAACATGTACAAGTACTCAGAGAGCAAAGAATCAGTACTGCTCTACTTGGTTGCAAAATAATAGGAACTGTCATGCTGGTTTCCATGTTCAGAGTTTGACTGGAGATTTGTTAGTTATTAAATAA